CTGTGAGAAGTGTTCAGTTGTATGCCTTCACTCTCTCTCTTTTCATTAAAACTGAGCATACTCGCTTACCATCTAGTTTTCCCTGAGATTAGAGACATGCATTAATTTCTAATCTGGGAAGGTGTGCGATGAAGAGAGAAGCAAAGTGTAAAGGACCTGAGGAGACTCCAAGAACTAACCAGGTAATACCTTCCACTTAGATGGATGGTAATTCTGAAGGTACCTAATAAAATAGCATGTGGTCTCAAAATTTATTTTATACCAGCTATTTCAGCCATAGACTACATTTTTCTTTAGAAGCAATTCTTTATTAGTTAGATTTGGCTCCTCCTATCTAAGATTCTTTGGCCTCAGGAGCTGGGTCTTTTTTCCAAGCATGTGCTTGGCCAATGACATTTGATCCACAGTGTGATGAATGTTCAAGGGAAATTAACGCTAACTCTAGTCATGAGCATATGTCTGAATAAAGGTATTATATCCAGCAAAAATACGTCAGAGAGAGAGAGAGAGCGCACACAAGCAAGGGGAGGGGCAGGCAGAGGGAGAAGCAGACTCTCCACCAAGCAAGGAACCCAATGATGAAGGCCTCAATCCCAGAACCCTGGAATCATGACCTGAGCCAAAGGCAGATGCTTAACCAACTGAGCCACCCAGGCGTCCCTATGATGGCCATTTTAACAAGCATGCAGTGAGATGTGTGTCTCTGTGGTTTCCCTAATTACTAATGAGTTATGTAAGTTCTTCATATATTCTGTATATTAATTCCTTATCAGGTATATGGTTTGCAAATATTTGGTTTTCACTTTGTTCATGGTTTCTTCTGTTCTGCAGAAGCTTTTTAGTTTGAAGTATTCTCACAGAAGCTTTTTAGTTTGTTGTATTCTCATACATTCTTTATTTTGTCGCTTATGTTTTAGGTGTCCTATCCAAAGATTCATTACCAAGATGGATGTCAAGGAGCTTTATTCCTATGTTTTCTTATAGGGGTTTCCTTGTTTCAGGACTTAAATTTTAAGTCTAATTCATATGAAGTTAATTTTTGTGAGTCTGATTTCCTTCTATCCCATGTGAGTATCCAATTATCTCAATACCATTGATTGAAGAGACTGTCTTTCCTTCCTTGAGCATTCTTTGTTCCCTTGTCCAATATTAGTTATCTATGTATTTTGGGGTTTATTTCTGGGTTCTCAATTCTGTTTCATTGGTTTGTTTGTCTGTATTTTTGCCAGTACCATACTGTTCCGAAATGAGGATATGTGACGTCTCCTGCTTTGTTCCTATTCCTCAGAACTTCTTTGGCTATTTGGGGTCTTTTGTGTTTCCATATGAATTTTAGGAGTGTTTTATCTACTTCTGTAAAAATGCCTTTGGACTCTCAAAAAGGATTGCACTGAATCTGAGGATAACTTTTAGTAGTACTGAGATACTAACAGTGTTAATTCTTCCAATCATGAGTATAGGATAGCTTTCCATTTATTTGTGTCTTTGATCTCTTTCATCAATATCTTATAGTTTTCATAGTAGAAAACTTTCACATTTTCAGTTAAATGTATTCCCTTTTTTTTTAAAGATTTTATTTATTTATTTGACAGAGATCACAAGTAGGCAGAAAGGCAGGCAGAGAGAGAGAGAGAGGAGGAAGCAGGCTCCCCACTGAGCAGAGAGCCCAATGTGGGACTCGATCCCAGGACCCTGAGATCATGACCTGAGCTGAAGGCAGAGGCTTAACCCACTGAGCCACCCAGGCACCCAGTTAAATTTATTCCTAAATATTTTATTGGTTTTGATGCTATTGTAATTGGGATTTTTTTTTCCAGAAAATTTGTTGATAGCATATAGAAATGCTACTGTTTTGTACATTAATTTTGTATCCTGCCACCTTAATGAATTCATTGGTTAGATATAACAGGTTTTTTTCTTTTGATTTAGTCTTTAGAATTTTCTATGTATATAAAATCATATTACCTGAAAATACAGTTTTACTTCTTCCTTTCCAATTGTGATACCTTTTATTTTCTTGCCTGATTATTCTAGGAAAGACTTCTAGGACCATGTTGAATAGGAGTGCTGAGAGTGAGCACCTTTGTTTTGTTCCTGATCTTAGACAAAAAACTTTCAACTGTTCACCATTAAGTACAATGTTAACTGTGGGCTTGTCACACATGGCCTCTTATACTGAGATATGATACTTCTATGCATAATATGTTAAGAATTTTTTTATCACAAATGGATGTTGAATTTTGTCACATCTTTTTTCTTGTGTCTATTGAGATGGTCATATGATTCTCTTCTTTCATTCTTAATGTCATGGGAGGTATGTCACCGGCTGAGAACAATTGAGTAGGACTGCTGTCTTAGTTCCCTGCCTAAGTGAGGCTGTAGGATTGGTTCTGTGGTTGCCTGGATTCTTTGGTCAGTCCTACTAGATGAACAGGACTGGGTACTACATTCAATAATAGCATATGAAATAGCTTTCTTGCAATGGCAGGGAAACAGGACAGAACCCAAAGCCTGGACAACTCATTGTTTAAGGACTCCAATCAAGCCAGAGTGTGCCTTGAATTCCCTGGTCAAGTGAGGTCACCAGTTTTGCTCTGTAGTTGAGGGAAGCCACAGATGTGCTCTCTCCTGTAGTGCCATTCTGTCTAGGTCTGGTGGATGGGCTATGCAGCTTCCAATATGCTCTGGTTAGGTTCTTTGGCTGGACAAGCTGAAGGCTGTATTCAGTGATGAGTGGGGCTACATATTAGATTTTTTGCTTGAGCACAGTGGGAGAGCAGCTCCTAAAGCTGGCTAAGTTGTCATCTTTTTTTTTAAATGTTCAGTTGGCCAACATTAGATTCTGATGTAGTGTTCAATGATTCATTTGTTGCTTATAACATCCAGTGCTCATTACAACACATGCCTCAAAACATTAAAAATAGAGTTACCCTATGACCCAGCAATTGCAGTACTAGGTATTTATCCTTGTTGCCTTTACACACCACAAATTTTCTGATGGAACAGAACCACTGGATTTGCCCTGCAAACTCTCAGTTCTGTGCACCTGCCTCTTAGTTTGAGTGTTCCTAGGCTGCACTGCTTCCAGGAGTTGTCCCCAGCCCTTCCAGTCAGAAGGGGCCAGAAGACATTCTTGACAATAGGTGGGGCTATGTCCTAGGTTCCTTGACGCATAGAGAGGGGGTCAAGCCACTCCAGGCTACTCTTAATTTCTCAGGAAGGCTCTCCAGTTGGGAGGGGTTACTACCTTCAGCATAGGCTATGAATTAATGCCTCTGCCTGTGTGGGGCACAGGAATATTCCACAGGTACTGGTTTTGCTCTGGGTGCTATCAGGTATTCCCACCCATATCTCATCTTGAGCACTGCTAGGCTGTACTGCTTCTAGGAGTTGTCCTCAGCTCTTCTGGTCAGATGTGGACAGAAGATGCTCTTTGCAACAGGCAGGGTTGTAATTCAGCTCCCTTCCTGGGTATGGACAAACAAGGCTCTAGGATTAGCAAAACTCCTTTGAGATCTGAACCCCACATTGTTCTCTGATCAGAGTGCGCCTCTGAGTTGGTCCTGCAGATGAGCAAAACTGCTGGTTGGGATTAGTCCCTGAGCACTGCAAATATGAATTTCATCTGCCAAGATCTGTATGCTGATTGTTGCAAGTCCCTCCGTCTTCTCTATCACAATCAGATTCCTGGCAGTTGAGTCCCATTGATTCCCCTGCAGTCCTTGTGGGTGTGAAATCAGTGCAAGAGCTCCCATAGTAAAGCAATCCACAGTGTTGGGGCAATGCAGATTGTCTCCCTTGGGGTTTCTCTTACTACTAGAGGAATAGGAAGCTCAGGAGAGATCTATCTGCCCACATGATGTTGCACTGGTTTGGGGAAGAACAATGCAGTCAATGTGTAGCTGCTTTCTTAAACTTTCTAATGCCATACCTTAGTCTCTGTGGTGCAGGGGTTGCTTCTCAGTGGTATCTTATTCTTGAATAGTTAGTTGTTGGTTGTTCTTCTTGTGATGGGGAAAAGTCAGGAACAACCTATGTTGCCTTCTTAGTGACATCAGAATGTGGTAGGCTTGTTAAAGAACTCTACCAAACCATATGATCAAGTTATTTTTATTTACCTTACTTAATTAATGCTAATTGATCAAATAAATAACTACCCCATGTCTATAAAGGGGCACAAAAATGAAAAAGATATAGTTTTCCATCTCTGGGAGGAGTAGACTGATGATGCAAGGCAGTAAGGGATGATGGGTTAGAGATGGTAGATTAGTGTTGTTTAAACACAGAAAACTAGTCAATCTGGTAGCTTCAGATGAGAATATTGTGATGGTGTGTCTGCTATTTTAGATGGTTAAGTTTGATATTTGGGAGTTCCAGCCACAGCTTGGGATGGGATTGCCAAAGAGGTGATGGCATACTACCCAATTACTCCTTGATTTCCCAGCTCTGTCCAGAACAGGTTATTTTCTCCAAACAAAATGTCAGTTCTTCAAGGTACTTTGGCTTTTTAAAAAATTTCCTATACTTTAGTGACTGTCTTTTGAAGGAAGAGAGAACAGTCATATGCTCAAAGAATTAAAAAAAAAAACTATACCATCATAAAACAAGGGAGGTATGGCTATAGCAGCATAAGACTTAAGGGTTTTAGGTGATAATAAAATGAAATTAAATGCCAATACTTTATAGATTAATTGAATCTTTTTATTATTAGATATTTCATATTCAGCATAAAGAAGATGATTCTTTTGATCTACTTTACATTTGCAGATTGATTATACTGAAAATAAATGCACTTTCCTTAAAGTATTAAGTTTTGCAACACTGAAAATGTTCCAACTAAAGCAGCATGATCCTCTTCTACATAAAGGGGATTGTTGGAATGGCTGGTAGTGATTGAGGGAAATTCTAAAGCCCTCTGGAATCTGATTTGTATAAACTTATAGGCTTTATGGACCTATGTTTGGCATGAGGTGACTTCTTACTGAAAAAAGAGACAAACTATGAGACAATCAAATCAGACACAGGTGACTGAATTCCTCCTTCTGGGACTCTCTGATGACCCCCACACCCAGAAGCTGCTATTCATTGTATTCCTGGGTGTCTACCTGGTCACCGTGCTTGCAAATCTGCTTCTCATGTGCCTTGTGCAGGCTGACTCCCGGCTTCACACACCCATGTATTTTTTCCTTTGCAACTTATCTCTGGCTGACCTCTGTTTTTCTACCAACATCATTCCTCAGGCCCTAGTCCACCTGCTATCCAGGAAGAAGGTCATTTCATTCACACGTTGTGCAGCTCAGCTTATACTCTTCCTCATTTTTGGATGCACACAGTGTGCCTTTCTGGCAGTGATGTCCTATGATCGGTATGTGGCCATCTGCAACCCTCTGCATTACCCTAGCGTCATGACGTGGAGGGTGTGTGTCCAGCTGGCTGCAGGATCATGGACCAGCGGCATTCTGGTGTCTGTGGTGGATACCACTTTTGTACTAAGGCTACCCTACCGAGGCAGCAATAGTATTGCTCATTTCTTCTGTGAGGCCCCTGCACTGTTGATCCTGGCATCCACAGACACCCGCACTTCAGAGATGGCCATTTTCCTCATGGGTGTCATGATTCTCCTCATACCTGTTTCCCTAATTCTGGTGTCCTATAGCCACATCATAGTGACTGTGGTGAGGATGAAGTCAGCTGTGAGAAGGCTCAAGGCATTCTCTACCTGTGGCTCCCACCTCCTGGTGGTCATCCTTTTTTATGGATCAGCAATTGTCACTTACATGACATCAAAGACTTTCACTTTCAAAGAACAGGAAAAACTGTTGTCTGTGTTCTATGCAATGGTGACACCCATGCTTAATCCCCTCATCTATAGCCTGAGGAACAAGGATGTGAAGGGAGCTCTGAAGAAAGTAGCAACAAGGAAATTTCTCATGCAGGCTTGAAATCTGTCACTGACTGTGAGGACTTCTTTGTTTTCCCTACTTAGTAGACTTGCTGAGTAGTTGCCTCAGCAAGATTGGAATATGGTAAGATTCTTATCTTTGGGCTTTGTCGTGGACCTACCCTTCATCCTTCATGAAGCACTTTCTTTGTAAAAGAAGAAAGAGAATAACTCATGGACCAGTAGAAGGAGTGTCTCCTTCCTTGGTGGTTTTAGCTCATAAAAATTAGGAAATCCTGAAAGAAACATTCACATTTTATAAACCCTGGAACCTATAAAATCCACCTTTTTTTTTAATCATGTTATATATTACTATCAATCTATCCTATCCTCCAACTCTTTACCTTTTGGTATTTATGAATCTCTTTGCATCATCACACAATCAATACATTAGCAAGCATTACTTAACCACGTACTATGAGCTAGGCGCTAGATGTATGTGGGCTGGCACATGCATCTACATATGTCTGAAGTGGGTAGTGAAGAGCATGGGTACAATGAAGAGAATATATGAGTTCTGCTGTCCTTCTCACACTCTTATTAGGGACAAGGATATTTTATCTATCAGATGAACATAAAGACAGGATTCTGAAACTAATAAGAAATAGTGACATCCCAGGGCTAGAAAGAGTGATAAAGAAGCTTGTACTAATCCTGGGCCTAAAGGACAACTAGGACTTGGAGAGGGTAGCTCTATAGAGAAAGCCTTGAGACAGGGATTGTGGACATGGTGTATGGAGGCGGGAAAGCCATAGGAATAAATATTTCAGGCTCATTCTCTACCTACCTTCTAATTTCTTGTTATGTATTCCAAAGAAAATCTAGGATAACAACCCCATCTGAAATTACTTATTTTAATTCTGGCTACACAATCCTTATTCTGGTTAGGTAACATGTTTATAAGTCCTGGGGTTTAGTATATGGACATCTTTGGGGGACCATTATTCTGCCTACCATAAAAGAACAAGTAAAATACATGTGAAGGAGTAATGAAATTTTGGCTAAAATTGGAGATTATAAGTGTATAATGGTGCCAATCTGCTTTGTTATGTAACTGCTATCATCCAAACAGAACCCCAATATCTACCTTTTCATTTGAAAATTCTTATAGTGATAATTCAGAATGTGCTGCTTTTGTAGAGCCCTTGATACATGAGAAGTGAAGGGTACCCTGTGTGGGAGATTGACCTGGTCCTGGTACTTCCATGGCACACAGAGTTAGAGTTATTTATAGAGTTTGCGGAGAGGACATGCCTATGCAGTAAATGCTATTTTATTCTGTTAAATATCAATAAATTGTTATGAATAATTCACACCTATATATGGTATCAACACCCCAAGTCGGCTATTTTTAAAGAATCCAGAGTTGGCCTATGTTCACTGGACAAAATCAGAAAAAGGGGCTGCTAGACTGATAGGCAAGTTTAAGGACAGCTGGTTTCATCTAATCCCAATATGACTGCATAACATCTAGTAAACAATCTTTGGGTTATTCACAGCAGTTTCCTAGAATGTTGTCCACTTAGCTTGGTATTTCTCACACCCTTTCTGTCAAACAATTCTCATATCCAAGGTGAATAATTTGAGATTGAGGTGGTGTCTGTGTGGAGTAGTCCTTCTCCAGATGAGGCACAGACTAATCATGGTAGCAGAGGAAGAAGTCCTCATTTTCTAGCCTAGTAGTACATGGGTACTTTATAAGCCAGGGGAATTTTTTAAGTATGACTTTATTATTTTCTTTCTCACTAGAATATAAATTCCACAAGGTAAGAAATTTTTCTATTTTCTTCAGCACTGTGTCTTCAGGTCCTAAACAGGATCTGACACATGCTGAATGTTGAATAAAAATGTATTGAAATTGAGTGAGAGACTATGGACTCTAAAAAACAACCTGAGGGTCTTAAAGGGGAGGGGGGTGGGAGGTTAGGGGAACAAGGTGGTGGGTACTAGGGATGGCACGTATTGCATGGAGCACTGGGTGTGGTGCAAGAACAATGAATACTGTTACACTGAAAAGAAATAAAAAAAATACAAATAAAAAATAAAGAAATTGAGTTCAAAAAATAAGTGAAAGAATGACACAAAACTCTACTGCTTATTATTACCATTGTCATAAGTTTATCTTGTAAGCAAAAAGATCCTTGAAAGTTTCAAGGGGAGTTTGGAAACATAGATAATGTAAAGCAGAAGTTATAAAAAGACATGTTTGAGGAAGTTCAAGAAAAGTTAAAACAAGTACAGAATGCAAATTGTAGTGTTGTCACTACAACTGTCAACCTTCAGATCAGCTCCCAATCTGTGTCAACTAGCAGTATCCTCAGATATGTTAGTCCCCCAGTACTATGGACCCAGGCCTATAGAAGTTCTCCTTCATCGCTCATGTTCTTTCATTCAGAAACAGAGCCTAGTAAAGTCCAAAATTCTAGTGGATACATCATGGCTCTTAGAATGAGGAGGCACTAAAGCATACTTGAGGAGTCCTTTCCTTTCTCCTTGCATTCCACTTGTTTGGTTTGCATCACAGTCAGTCACAGTATCTGAGGGCCCAGGGTCCTGTGGATGACTCGCTTCAGTGCAGCCTTAACTTCACTATTTCTTAAGCTGTAGATGATGGGGTTCAACATTGGAGTCACCACTGTGTAGGACAGTGATAACAGTTTCTTGCCCTCAGGAGAGGTGCTGGATCGTGGTCGGAAGTATGTGAGGATGGCAGTGCTGTAGAAGAGGGAGACAACCAGGAGGTGGGAGGAGCAGGTGGAGAAGGCCTTGCGTTTCCCCTCAGCTGATGGCATCCTGAAGATAGTGGAGAGGATTCGGACATAGGACCCCAGGATTAGCAAGAAAGGGAAGAGAATGAATAAGACAGTCGCTGTCAAAGCCTCCAGTTCAAACAGAGAGGTATCAGCACACACCAGTGCAATGACAGGGGGGCTGTCACAGAAAAAGTGGTTCACTCTGTTGGGGCCACAAAAAGGGAAGCTGAAAATCCATGTGGTTTGCACGGTGGCCACTGGAAAACCTGAGAACCAGGAGGCAGCTGCTAGCTGGCCACAGGCCCTGCGGCTCATAATGATTGGGTAGCGCAAAGGGTCACAGATGGCTACATAGCGGTCATATGCCATTGTGGCCAGGAGGCAGCACTCAGCAGCCCCAAAGAAGAAGAAGAAATACATCTGAGTGGCACAGCCAAGGAAGGAGATGGTTGTGTCTTGGATGATCAGAGTTCCCAGCATCTTGGGCACAATGACCAAGTTGAAGCCTATCTCCAGAAAGGACAAGTTCCTGAGGAAGAAGTACATAGGATTTTGTAGAGCTGAGTCAGCTGTAGTGACTAGGATGATGAGAACATTACCCATTAGGGTAACCAGGTAAATAGTTAAAAAAAGGAGAAACAGTAGAGCTTGTAGCTCAGAAGACAAGGTTGAAAAGCTCACAAGAACAAACTCACTGACAATTGTCCAGTTTTCCCACGTCATTCTTCTTCCTAGGATTTGATTGGCATTCATTCTCCAGGAAGGTAGAAGTCTCCATATGTTATTTAGACCTCTATTATACCCTTAGAAAGAAAATTTATGGCCTCATTCTCTACCTTTCTTGTTATAGTGATTGGCAATCAAAAGCAGTACCTTCCAAAATGTAAAAAAAAAAAAAAATAAGCTTCTCCTTTAGAGTCACAATATTTTGGAAGAATCCTAACCTGTTTTAGACTGAACTGAGGCACACCATATATATCTACACATTCCTTGACTTTTCTTAGCTCTGTAGAGAATGTTCAAAATCATAGGTTCCCTTTGGGACTCCTACCCTTTCTTCAATAGTCAGTGGTACTAAAATAGAAGTCAGGCTAAGCATTTCTGAAGAGAGGGGTCTTAATGCACAATGAAAGGTGGTGAGGTCAGCCAAGATATATTTTCTGCAAAATGAGAGTAGGAAAGAGAAAGTCAAGGAAAGTGAACCAGCAGTTACTAATGATCCCTTAGGTGAGACCTGAATGTGCCCTAATCTCACACAGTCCACATTCACAATGGTTTCAGTATACTGGAGGAATCTTCAATATATTAGAGTATTTCTTCATTTCCCATCTCAGAATATGTCAGTTTAAAGGAGACGTGGAATATAGAGACTGCGGTTTATTCTGATTTTAGGTTAAATATTACTGATAGGTTGTATATGATGAGAAAAGGGAACACAGACTCAAGACAGTGTCAGACCATAGAAAGAATCCAGATGTATTACATATAAACCTTTTGATCAGCTTTTGTTGGTTGACTTGTGTCTTGACTTTCAAGAAATATGAGCTCAAGTGTAACATGTTAATAAAGACTCACTCAAATAGGCAGACTAATAATATTAAATCCTGTGAGAAAGAAGCAGAAAGTTGAATCAGTACATCAATAACTAAACTTCAAAATTGGGGCCCTGAAATTCCGATGACTATAAACTTACATGATGTAATACATCTAAGGCACTTGCATGATGACTGATACATAACACATGCTAACCATAAATGCTAACCATTATAGTTATTATGATATAATGCAGATCTATCCTTCAAAGTCTACTTCTTGTCTAACTTACTTCCCAAACTCAATGTAGTCCCTACTTTTCAATTCCTAGAAGAAAAGCATAATTTATTCATTAATATTATCTTCTGTGTACCAGACACTCTTCTAAGTACTGAAGATAATACATCTATAAATAAAACAAACAAAAATCTCTGCCCTAAAGGACCCCTCCCAAGATCATTGAGAATTGACCAAGGCCCTAACATATAATAGTACAACTCACAAATCTTAGATCCAAGGAAACAATCCTGAAAATGGCTAGGGGGAAGAGATTTCTTATGTACAGAGGGAGGAACATCAGAATAATGTCAGACCTGTCCACAGAGACCTGGCAAGCCAGAAAGGGCTGGCAAAACATATTCAAGGTACTAAATAAGAAAAACAGACGGCCAAGGAATCTTTATCCAGCAAGGCTGTCATTCAGAATGGATGGAGAGACAAGGAGCTTCCAAGACTGGCAGAAACTGAAGGAATATGTGACCACCAAGCCAGCCCTGCAAGAAATATTAAGGGGGGCGGGTTCTACAAAAGGAAGACCCATCCATATGCTGTCTACAAGAGACTCATTTTGAACCTAAAGATACATTCAGACTGAAAGTGAAGGGATGGAAAACAATTTTTCATGCCAATGTATCTCAAAAGAAAGCTTGGGTAGCAATTCTCACATCAAACAAATTATATTTTAAGCTAAAGACTGTAGTAAGAGATACAGAGGGACACTATATCATTCCTAAAGGGTCTATCCAATAAGAAGATCTAACAATTGTAAATATCTATGCCCCTAACATGGGAACAGCCAAATACGTAAGCCAACTGTTCACCAAAATAAAGAAACATATCGTTAATAATACTTTAATAGTAGGAGACCTCAAAACTCTACTTTCAGCAATAGAAAGATCATTATGCAGAAGACCAACAAAAAAAACAAGAGCTTTGAATGACACATTGGACCAGATGGACTTCATAGATATATACAAAACATTCCACCCTAAAACAACAGAATTCTCACTCTTCTCAAATGCACACAGAACTTTCTCCATAATAGACCACATACTGGGTCACAAATCACATCTCAATTGATACCAAAAGACTGAGATTATTCCCTGCATGTTTTTAGGCCATGATGCTTTGAAACTGGAACTCAATCACAAAAAAAAAAATTAAAAGCAATTCAAACACATAGAAGCTAAAGACCAACCTGCTAAAGAATGTTTGGGTTAAATGGGAAATTGCATGCAAGTGTTGAATCACCATATTGTATACCTGAAACTACTATTATGCTGTATATTAACTAACTGGAATTAAATAAAATCTTAAAAAAAGAGAAGGAGAAGAACTTAATTCATGGAAACTAACGAGAACAAAAATACATCAGTCCAAATCCTATGGGATACTGCAAAGGTGGTTCTAAGAGGGAAATAGATTGCCATCTAAGCCTCATTCAAATAGGAGAAAACTGAATTATACCCAAAGGAACTGGAGAAAAAACAAATAAAACCAAAATCAAGTAGGAGAAGAGAAATAATAAAGATTAGAGCAGCTATCAATGAATAAGAAACCAGAAATACAGTAGAACAGATCAATGAAACTAGAAACTCATTCTTTGAAAGAATTTATAAGATCGATAAACTTCTGGCCAGACTTATCCAAAAGAAAAGAGAAAGAACCCAAAATTATAAAATTATGAATGAAAGGGAAGAGATCATGACTAACATCAAGGAAATAGAAACAATTATTAGAAATTATTATTGGCTGCTATAGCCAATAAATTAAGCAACCTGGAAGAAATGGATGCCTTCCTGGAAACCTATAAACTACCAAGACTGAAATAGGAAGAAACCAACAATCTGAATAGACCATTAACCAGTAACGAAATTGAAGCAGTGATCAAAAATCTCCCAAAAAACAAGAGTCCAGGGCCTAATGGATTCCCAGGGAAATTTTACCAAACATTTAAAGAAGAAATAATACCTATTCTCCTGAAGCTGTTTCAAAAAATAGAAATGGAAGGAAAACTTCCAAAATCGTTCTATGAGGTCAGTATTACCTTTATCCTAAAACCAGGCAAAGACCCCATCAAAAAGGAGAATTACAGAATCCTTGATGAATATGGATGCCAAATATCTCAACAAGATCCTAACCAATAGGATCCAACAGTACATTAAAAGGACTGTCCATCATGACCAGGTGGGATTTATTCTTGGAGTGCAAGGTGGTTCAATATTTGCAAATCGATCAGTGTGATAGAACACATTAATAAAAGAGGAGACAAGAATCATATAATCCTTTCATTTGATGGAGAAAAAGCATTTGACAAAATACAGCATTCTTTCCTGATTAAAACTCTTCAGAGTGTAGAGATAGAAGGAACATTCCTCAATTTCATAAAAACCATTTGTGAAAAACCCATGGCAAATATCATTCTCAATGGGGAAAAGCTGAGAGCTTTTCCCTTAAGCTCAGGAACACAAGGATGCCTGCTCTTGTCACTATTGTTCAACTTAGAGCTAGAAGTCCTAGCCTCAGCAGTCAGACAACAAAAAAGAAATAAAAGGTATTCAAATTGGCAAAGAAGTCACACTCTCTCTTTGCAGATGACATGATACTTTACGTATAGAACCCAAAAGACCCCACCCCCAAAATACTAGATCTCATACAGCAATTCTTTAATGTGACAAGATACAAAACCAATGCACAGAAATCAGTTGCTTTTCTATACACTAACAGTGTAACTGTAGGAAGAGAAATTAGGGAACTGATTGCATTTATATTAGCACCAAAAATGATAAGATACCTAGGAATAAACCTAGCCAAAGAGGTAAAGGATCTGTACTTGAGGAACTACAGAACACTTATGAAAGAAATTGAAGAAGACACAAAAAGATGGACAAATATTCCATGCTCACAAATTGGAAGAATAAACATTGTTAAAATGTCTATGCTGCCTAAAGCCATCTGTACTGTCAATGCCATCTGATCAAAGTACCAATGGTATTTTTCAAAGAGCTAGAACAAACAATCCTAAAACTAGTATGGAACCAGAAAAACCCCAAATCGCCAAGGAAATGTTGAAAAAGAAAAACAAACCTGGGGCATCATGTTGCCTGATTTCAAGCTAGATTACAAAGCTGTGATCACCAAGACAGCATGATACTGGGACAAAAACAGACACATAGATCAATGGAACAGAATAGAGAGCCCAAATATGGACCCTCAACTCTATGGTCAACTAATCTTCAACAAATCAGGAAAAAATACCCAAAGGAAAAGAGAGTCTCTTCAATAAATGGTGCTGGGAAAATTAGACAGCAATATACAAAAGAATGAAACTCGACCATTCTCTTACACCACACAAAAAGATAAACTCAAAATGGATGAAAGACCTCAATGTGAGACAGGAATCCAATAAAATCCTAGAGGAGAGCATAGTCAGTAACCTCTTCAACATTGGCCATAGCAACTTTTTTCAAGACACGTCTCCAAAGACAAGGGAAACAAAAGCAAAAATGAACTTTTGGAACTTCATCCAGAGAAAAATCTTCTGCAAAGCAAAGGAAACAGTCAACAAAACTAAGAGACAACCCACGGAATGGGAGAAGATATTTACAAATGACATTACAGAAAAAGAGCTGGTATCTAATATCTATAAAGAACTTATCAAACTCAACACCCCAAAAACCAAATAAGTAAAAAAATGGGCAGAAAACATAACAGACACTCATCCAAAGAAGACATACAAATGGCTAACAGATAACATGAAAAAAAAAATGTTCATCATCATCAGCAATCAGGGAAATTCAAATTAAAACCACATTGAAATACCACCTTACACTAGTTCTAATGCCGGAAATTAACAAGGCAGGAAACAACAAATCCTCCGCAGAGGATGTGGAGAAAGGAGAACCTTCTTACACTGTTTCAGGAAATGCAAGTTGGTACAGCCACTTTGGAAAACAGTATGGAGGCTCCTCAAAAAGTTAAAAATAGAGCTACCCCATGACCCTGCAATTGCACTACTGGGTATTTATCCCAAAGATACAGATGTAGTGAAAAGAGGGGGTTTGTGCACCCCAGTGTTCATAGCAGCAATGCCCACAATAGCCAAACTGTAGAAGGAGCCAAGATGCCCTTCAACACACAAATGCATAAAGAAGACGTGATTCATATATACAATGAAATATTACTCATCCATCAGAATGGATGAATACCCACCAGTTTCATTGACATGGATGGAACTGGAGGGGATTATGCTAAGTGAAGTAAGTCAAGCAGAGAAGGACAATTATTGTATGGTTTCATTTATATGTGGAACGTAAGGAATAGCATGGACGACATTAGGAGAAGGAAGGGAAAATTAAAGGGGGGAAGTCAAGAGGGAGAGACAAACCATGAGATACTATGGACTCTGGAAAACAAACTGAGGGTTTCAGAGGGGAGGAGGCTGTGGGGATGGGTTAGCCCAGTGATGGGTATTAAGGAGGGCATGTACTGCAATGAGCACTGGGTGTTTATACACAAGTAATGTATCATGAAACACTACATCAAAAACTATTGAAGTACTGTATGGTGATTAAAAGAACATTAATAAGAAAATTTAAAAAAAATCTCTGGAAGGGGAGGTGAACTATGAGAGACTATGGACTCTGAAAAACAATCTGAGGGGTTTGAAGCGGCAGGGAGTGGGAGGTTGGGGGAACAAGGTGGTAGGTATTAGAGAGGGCACAGATTGCATGGAGCACTGGGTGTGGGTGCAAAAACAATGAATACTGTTATGCTGAAAATAAATAATAAATTAAAAATAAATAAATAAATAAAATCTTTAAAAATTAAAAACATATACTCACCAATTGGAATATTATACAGCACTGAAAATGATTGGACACACAGTAATATGAATAAACCTGGGAAGCCAGGTTGGGTGAAAAAAATCAGTATCAAAAGACTACATAAGGTGATATTATGCATTAAGGTCAAAAGAGTCCAGACTAAATAAATTTTTAAAGAATAGAAAAAAAAATCCTGCCCTCACCTTCCAGCAGAGAAAACAGATTATATGCAAATTATATAATAGGATGAACAATATGTTAGGTGGTGTCAAGAACAATGGAGAAGAATAAAACAGTGGAGAAGGAGATAGGCATTCAAGGTGTGAGGAATGAAGGGAAGCCCTCCCTGAGCAGAAGCTGTTTGAGTAAAGTGCTCAGCAGGTTCAGGATGTGTAGTCAGGGTGGTAAGGGAAGGAGGAAGGTAAAGAGGGAAAACTGAGAAAATGCTATTTTATAATTTTTGCTGATTCCTATTCATTTAAGGAAAAACTCAACCTGGACATTGCTTTTTTAAATGAATACTTTGACACTTTGTCAATTTTCAAGTAAGTGTTAACATTTAATGAGCACCAGATAAGTGCCAGGCACTATTCTAAGTGTTCTGCATTACATTAAGTCTCACAACAAACTGAAGATATAGGGATTGTTATGAGGCCCACTTTACAGCTGAGGAGGCACAGAAAAGTTGAACAATTTCTCCAAGATTAGACAGCCAGCAAGTGTTGGTATCAAGATATGCTTCCTGGGCAGTGTGACTCTGCTTCATGGCTTTACCCATCAGACAACTTGACTCACCCACTCTGAGAACAGAAAAAAGTCTGAGCTCACAGGTGAGGGCAAGCAGGAGTTTTGGGCACAGAATGGTAGTAATAGAGCAAAAATCAAGACAATTTCTAGAGAAGATCAGAAAGGTATTAGCAACACTAGAGAGCTGGAATACCAATTTCATAGTCCTAGTACTAGAATAATCATTAATTTATATCTCCATCTCCATTCTCTAGATGGCATACTACTTGACAGTAGAAACTGTTTTCAACTTTTCATCGCAATTCCTAGCAAGTAGATACCCAGTACATTGTTACTGAATAAATGAATGAACAATAAACACAATGTGGAAAATGATCATGGAAATATCTGTATAGACAGAATGTAGGCACAGTGAGCCCCATTCAGAAGGAACTTAGATACAAAGACTACATACTCAATGATACGGCCTCATACAACTTACACAGATTTAAAGAGTGATAAGGGTTATAAATTACACTCATCATCTTCCCCTATCCCAAGCTGCCTCCTGAGGGGGCGCCTGGTTGGCTCAGTGGGTTAAGCCAAGCTGCCTCCTTTTATCTGCCTCATTTCAGGAAATGACAAACCCGGCAGCATGACCCAGGAATTCGGACAAAAATCCTTTAATTCATCCCCAAAACTTGATTGTTTTTCCTCCTAAACACCAATTCAGTGTCATCATCTACATCCCCACCACAACTGCCTGTAGATTCTGGCTTTTATTTTCTCTGGCCTGTTAATATTGCAGGAATGTGATTCTGGTTTTCTTCAAACCAGCCATGATTTGTGTGTGATGTGATAGCAACTCCAATTAAGTTACTCACCTGCTTAATGTCTTCCAAACACTGCCTACTGAACCTGGTCTTTTTCTCTGGTATCTGCTTTATTTTTCCAGTTTCAGTAGTGTGTTTCCCTACACAGCTGATGCTCTGGTTACACAAAAGTACCTTCTGTTGTGTACATATATCATGTCTCTCACTCCTTCTTATCCTTGTGCATGTGGCTCTCCGCTTTTGCAAACCTCTTCCTGCAATTATGTATAATTTCTTCTCATTTTACGAGTCTCAACTGAAGCATCATTTTCTTGTGAAGTTTCCCTGTGCTCCCTTGGTGTAATCAAGGAATTATTCTTAGGGTGCCTGGGTGGATCAGTCAGTTGGGTGTCTGACTCTTGATTTTGGTTCAGGTCATGATCTCAGGATTGTGAGACCTAGCCCTGAGTTGGGCTCCATGTGGAGAGTGGAGACTGCTTGGGATTCTTTCTTTCCCTCTCCCTCTGCCCTCCGCCACGACACCCTACCCCACTACACTCTCACTCTCTCTCTCTCTCAAAAAAATAAAGGATTATTCTACCCTCTTATAACACTTTGGGTAAAACTCTATTAGAGCACTATATAATTTTGTATGTGTGCATATATTTATATTATCTAATTATTAATGCCAGGAGTAAAAATCTATTCAGTCATCATTGTATCTTTTATACATAATAGAGTCCTTAATAAAGTGCTTGCTAATTAACGTAGCCTATGATTTAATTATTTTTAGAGCAGTTTAATGATGCTATAGCATCTCAAGTTGAACTTACAATTAAGTATAAGGCCTCTGACCATGTGTGTGTGTTACAGATGGTACATTCAGTTTTGTCTTTCAATATATATTTATTTCTAATGTTTTGCTCTGTTCTGAGAACTTATTTTAAAAGCTTTATTATAAGAGCTTTGCATCACTCACTGTGCCACAGATGTCCACTCCCATCAAATATTTAATCAAAACTTTTCCTAGGACAGAGCCATGACTCTGGAGCATATCACTTAAACTATATCCCAAAATGAGTTGACACCAATTTTCTAAACTCCACTTTTTGGGCTATTTGGCAAAGCTATCTTTTGTTTTTTTCTATCAGTGACTTTAAATCATTTCAAACACAAGTTGGGTATAAATAAACAGTTTTATGTACTGTTTGAGAATTTCCTAATGATACATAACCAGATGATACTACTTAGACACTGGTCACCATGTAACAAAAGGCTAGAAAGGTTCTCAGAAATGGTTCTCAGGCCAAAAGTTCAGATGTTATCAAAGAAGATCTCAGTTAAGGAGCAGAGATGACTTTCCCTTTTCTTTCAAACCACATCCTACAAAGAATCTCTATATTTAAGTCCAATGAGGATGAATAAGGGCAGGGACAGGGGCAGGGGCAGGAGCTCAGAACCCCACTTGCTTGGCTTTCACTTTTCTCCTGTCCCCTGAAACAGCTCCTTCATGCTTCTTCTTAGGCCCTTATGGCTGCACAAAACAACATGAATGCATGATTCAAAACTTTTCATTTGCCTCCCTCCCACAGCTGTAATTCCATATTTTCCTTCCTCTGTCTTGATCCTTCTCTAATCATCCCTTTATATTGCCTTCTTTTGATCTCCTTTCCTTTCTTTCTCTTCTTTTTCTCTCACCTTTCACTTCAGTTTTTACATTTTGATCTCTTTTCCTCTATTAAGCAGGGAAGAGATGGTGGAGGGGAGGTTGCTGGGACCTTGTTGTAAAGAACTAATCTTTCTGTAGCTTCATGCATGTAATTGTGGTTGTCAGGATGTTATCAATGAAGTATAATCTAGCTACTGCTTTACTACTGGTCTTGTAAGCACAGAGACTTGGATAAATGTAGTTGTGTTTGCAGCCATCAGAGGGGGAGAGAAACCTATGGAAGCAGAAGTTATACACCTCAGCTAAGTTTCTGTATAACTTCTGAGGTGGTCTGGCCAGCACTGTATCTCTTTTCTGTGGTAACATCTTGGATATTCCATGCACTGTTTCAACAAGAAAGAACTAGATAACATACCTATGAAAACTTTGTGAAACTAGGGTGCCTGGGTGGCACAGTTGGTTGAGATTCAGGTTTCAGCTCAGGTGGTGATCTCAGGGTCCTGGGATTGTGTAGGGAGTCTGCTTAAGACTGTATCTCCCTCTACCCCTCCTCACCCTGCCCTCTCTCTCTCACTATCTCAAATAAATAAATAAAAACTTCATGAAACTCTCACATAAATGATAGTTTGGGGCCACATAGTTATAACAGCAAGGACTTTAGAGTTATAAATTCAGAGTTGAAGTTCTGGTTGTTATTTTTTATCTGTGAGACACAGAGCTACTGACATGACATTTTCTGAATTACAGTTTTCTCAAATGTAATATGACTATTATTATAGATACCATAACCACGTGAAATTAGATTATATATGGGCAAATGTTTCCACCATTCTAAAGCCCAATGCATATATTATCAGTGTTTTCTATCTTTTCCCAGATTACTTAATTTGTCAAGTCTTATAAAACTCCATGATTTTTTTTTTACCTGAGACCTCTGATCTTCCTTCCTGTTTCCTAGAAATATGTCAAAGAAAATATATTTTCTTGGTAATAAGCCATCATCCTCTTTACAAGAGAGCTCAAGTCTGTGCTCTGTCCACTTTGCTCTTTACTTACCTCCTGTGAGTGAAATTTGTTTCACATTCCAGAGAACCCCTGGTTTGTATCAGCTACTCTAGAGTACTCTGAGACTATATCCAAGTGAGCAACTCCAGGGGAGTCCTAAATTATGGCTATATCTCTGCAAATCCTTTCATAAAATCCCTGGATTTTGTCTGTGTCAATTATTTCAAAGGTACTCTGGGTTGTACCTGTCTCTGTCCTCATTGGTGGTGAACTCTGGTGTTCTGCCATGTCACATTCTCAAAGAAGCTTTGTCCAGGGCTGTATCAGACACCCCAGGTAAATCCTGGGCCGTGGCTGAGTCAGTCTCTGTAAAGAAGCCCTGTGTTGTGCAGCATTAGTCATTCCAAAGAAGCTCTGAGTGGACCTATGTCAGTTACTCTAGAGGATTCCAGGCTGGGTCTCAGGACTATTTTGGTCCCTGGTGTTTACTGTAATAGAGTGATTTCCCCAATGCTTCCTCTTCCTCAGGTCAAGTCATAGGTTCACTTTCTGACAGGTGTGAGTTTTGAGGAATTCCCAGGAGTAAAAAATTCATGAAGGTTCTGCAATCTCATACAGGGAGGAAGATCTTTGCTGCAGCTCCAACTTTTCCTGCACTCATGAGGCTACAAGAGCAAAGGGAGAAAAACTCAGGGTCTGTCTATTCTTCGAGGTTTGCACCAGAGAGAGATTAGAAAAGCATGCCAGTATTCTTTTTTCCCCTCAGCTTTATTGAGACAATTGACATATAACACTGTTTAAGGTATATAATGTGACGATTTAATACATGTATTTATATTGAAATGATAACACAATAGAGTTAGTTAACGTGTCCATAACTTCACAAAATTAACTTTTTGTATATGTGTGTGGTGAAACATTTAATATCTGCTCTCTTTGCAACTTTCAAGAATATAATACAGTAATATTAATGATAGTCACTATGCTGTATATTTTATCCCCACAACTTATAAATCTTATAACTGCGTTTGTACCCTCTGACCAACATCACCCTACTCCAACCCCTGATAACCGCTATTCTACTCTCTTTTCCTTTGAGTTTGGTTTTCTCAGATTCCACATTTAAGTGAGATCATACAGTATTTTTCTTTCTTTGTCTTTGTCTTTTTCTTTCACTTAGGATAATGCCCTTGAGGTCCATTCATGTTGTCCAAATGGCAGGATTTCCTTCTTTGTTATGGCTGATGAATATCCCATTGTATATATCTATACAAATACCACATTTTTTTAATCTTTTCATCTGTAAATGGACACTGGGGTTGTTCCAATGTCTTTGCTATTGTGAAAATGCTACAATGAACATGGGAGTGCAGGCATCCCTTTAAGACAGTCATTTCATTTCTATCATGCATTATTCTTTTACATCTCCCCACACTTTTGATTCTCACTGGGCTGATACTTTGGGAGTGTTTCTGACCTGAATTCAGAAGTTTTTAGGCATGGAGAGGAGAACTCATTAATCATTGTCTAAGCCAAGTGGAGAATATTAATGAAAATCATAAGCAGTTGGTTGGAGGTGCCGTTGGTTGAGGAGCTATTAATTCCTGATTAACATGAAAATAAGGAAGTCTGACTAACAGTCTTAAAATCTTAACCCTTCTGGAATAAGATTGAAGTTGAGGGATAAGATGATGGTCATGCTTTGAGATAAAATTTTCCTAAGCTGATTAGGGTTTCATCCAAAGACTCTAATGTATCTCTGAACATTTCTTATAGTTCTTCTGAAATAGAAATTTTATTGCATGTTTCTTACTGGAAGTGGTAACTATATCTGACTTCATTATTTTTTGCCTGGTATTTGGCATAGTGTCTGCAAATATGTGGGTCAATTTTTGTACAAGCCATATTTAAAATACTGACCTTCCGCATCATCCTTCACCTACATGACCTGAGATTTTCCACTGCAATTAACTAGGATGGCATGTTCATCTTGCAGTTTGGGGTAGGGAAGTGTAGCATACTTCCAACAAAAGTGATAGCAAAGGTGACTCAGTGGATAAAAAAGAATAGCTATTTACTCTCCCCCTGATAACCTTTCTCTTTGTCTAGTATATAACATAAATTCCTGTTAGTTCCCATATTTACTTAGAATTACAACCAAAAGTAGTGCAAGAATAGAAATAGCTACATGACTTCTCTCTGCCATTCTTCCTCTTATCCTTTCTCTCTTCTCAGATACTGAGTACTTGCATTTGGAGGAGGAAAAACTGTATTACAGGCTTCAATGGCCAATGAGCAGATGCACAAGGTATACTTTAAATGTTTGTTCCTTCAGTCAACAAATAATACTTGGATGCCTAACATGAACAAGGCAGTGGAATTTCAGTAGGAAATTTCACATTGTTCTTGTCCTCATGGAACATGCAGTTTAAATGGGAAGACAGATATGAACGAACCATATAAAAATGTAAAATTACAAGTGTGATGGATATGTAACTAGGAGAAAATGATGTAGCTACAAAAATAGCACCACTATTTCCCATTTCCCTGGACATAACTCTGAGCAGGAACTTGGATTACAATTTAATTAAGTTATGAGCAGCAATCCCAAAATTTCAGCCATGTCTTTATCTAAGACAAAAGCCTTTCAAAAAAATATAAATTAATCATCAAGAGCTATTTTCTCAGTCCCAGCAACCCCAAAGAGGCCTCTGTAAAAGTGGAAGGTGAAGTAAAAGAACTATCATTGCCCTATATAATGGTGTGTGGTTCTTATTGTGAAAAATAAAGATGCCTTGAAAATGATGAGTTAAATAAGAAAATATTTATTTCATACTTATGTGTTTGACTCCATTGTTTCTGATGACCAATGCATATCTTGGGAGATGAGTTTGGATTTGTGTGTTTGATTCAAACTACTCAACTGGAAAAAATAAATGTATCTGAATTCGCATTGCTTGGTAGATGTTGAACTTGGAAATGTTGATTTATGTTGAATGGAGCTCTAGATCTAGGATTTCAGTAGTTATTTTTTTCAATGACCATTTTTTAATGTTCGGATTAGAGATTTAGGAGTTTTTTCTTGACCAAAACACTCAGATGATGAATAGCACTTCTGAAGGGCAGACTATAGTAGACACTGCTGGAGTTTCTCTTTAATCTTCCTTGGTCATTTTGACTAGCTCTGAGCATCCTTTGTCAACTTCTGAAAGGTTTACTTCTAATAGCTTGTACCTGAGACCTTCAGAAGAATCCCCCCATGGCACTGGGAGAGAGTGGCACCTAGGAGTTTTAATTCTCACTTTTCCCTACCTCCCAGTTTGCCAGGATCCAGTAGATGACTGGAATGGAAGTACAGAAGCCTACTTCTTCTGACACGAAGCAGAACAAACTAAACTTTATTTATTCTCTGGAGTTCCCTGCTGGATTAGGCTAGTCTGGGACTGCACCCCAAATTATATGTTTGCTTAGTTTCTTCTCCATTCCTGCTCTATTTTTCCCACTAATTTAATGATTTTTCCTTGGTAAGTCTCTCGCACTTGAGTCATTGGCTTCCATCTCTGGTTCTGGGATAACCTGATGAAAACAACTGGTCCCAAGGCAAGATCAGTTACTGCAAGTTTGGGGAAGATGTTTTTAAAAGGTGAAAAGAGGTTCGTAACAGGGATACGAAGGAAAAGGCTTGAACTTTCTGGGGAAAAAAATCTCTTTCATACTTCTTTTATGGATCTCCTCCAGACTTTCAGAATACCTGTATTCTACTGCAGTAACTGGTCTTGCTCTAGAATCAGATCTTCTCTCTTGAGCATTGTGTTTCTTCACATGCAATCCAACATATCCTATCAATTCTTCCTCTAAAAATTATTTAGAATTAATTTCTACTGAAACCTGATAAATTACACTCTATTCCAAGTCACCACCACTTCTCAACTGGATTACCCATTCATTTATTCATCTTTCATACACTATTGAAAAATTGGAGAATAATTTCATCATAATGTAAAGTTTGTATTGGGCAAAGCAAACCAGAATAGATAAAGTAATAACTTTCAACACTGAAGCAAATGTCATAAGACCTTGGCATCCCTTAGTTGTTTTCAAGAAAATTTTAGAAGTGTGCCTGTGCTTGAGGCTTCATTCACAAAGAGGAGCATCTATTGTTTTGTGCAGCTTTTGGTTCCTGGCAAGTGGCAGTGACTCTCATGACCATATAAGGGCTGCCCCACTGGTTCAGAGCATCACACCATCTGCATTATCTCAGCACCAAATACTCTTTTACTAAATAAACCATCACTGACATTTTCATTCTATCACTACTATGCATGTTAAATATCTACTGTGGCAACCTCCAGTGTCCCTGAACTGCATGTCTGAGCAGCCTGTGTTGTCTCTCCACATACCAGCTGTGTTTCTGTTAAAACTCTGGCTTCAGAGTTCCATATATTCTGAGTGGTCTTCCCTAACCCATTTTCCCATAGTATTTTTGGTATAGAGATTTTCAGAACACAAGTTTTTCAGGAATTGCCTGTGTCATATAAAACAAATGCTTGTGCAGTTTTCATTTTCAAAGAGTTACAGGTACACTGGGGGAAAAGAAACATGTAAAAACAAGTACAGCATAGTGTATTCAAAATTTAATTTATATGTTGATAAAATTGGAATAGATGCATGTAGCAGAGAATAATTTATGGTTCTTGAGGGATTACAGTGAAGACTTTGAAAGATGAGATGGCTCTGTCTAAAATAAATGGAAAGCACCTTTCAAGTAGAGAAAATAGAGTATAAAACATCACCAGCTGCTAATCACCTAAACTATTAACTCAGAAGTCTGAATGAAATTCACCATTTGCTCTAATTTACTCAAATATTTCTTCCATATTCTTCAAAATTTATTTCCTTCAAATTCAAATTTGAGTAATTTTTTACCTATTATATGAACAAAATGTTTGATGACATATGTTATTGATGTGGCCATGGGGAAAAAAAGAACACTTGTAAACTGCTTGTGGGTGTATAAAATGTTACAATCAGTTTTGAGGGAAATTTGCCAATATATAACAACATGATACATGTATTTACCCTTTCCTAAATTTCTAGATTTCCATCTGTCTGATATGCTGGCAAAAATATTAAAATGCTTATACATAAAGCTATTTTTTAATGCATGATTTGTAATTATAAAAGATTTGTTAAGTAAATGATGGTATACCTACAAAACAGAGTACTATGAAACTACAAAAAGAATAAGAAATATTTTTTGGTTAAAGAAGAGCTATGTTGCAGTTAGCTAGATCCTTTTTAAACTTTGATGAAAACAGAATCACAAGACATTAAGGAGGACATGTGTTGTAGTGAATAGAGGGTATTATATGACTGATGAATCACTGACCTCTGCCTC